ATTCTCTATTCTGGACCACCAGATACATGCTTCTGACCCCTCAAATGTGGATAGGGGGGCTCTTCTTCTAACAAATAATGCATATTGCTATCTGGAATATTAGAGGTTTTAACAAGTCCTCTAAGCAATTGATAGTTAAGAGACTCATTCAAGAATATAAGCTTGCTTTTATAGCTCTACTGGAAACTAAGGTGAATGATCAAAAGATGCATTCTATAGCCAAGAAAGTTGCAAATGGCTGGAAATGGATCTCTAATGTTCAACAAACAAATAATGCTAGAATTTGGATCCTTTGGGATGATGAGTTGCTAAATATCCAGCGTGTGCATTCTACAGAACAATTTGTCACCTGCTCTATAGAATCAAAAGATAGGCTGTTTTGCAGTCTAGTTACCATTGTCTATGGCTTAAATCAAATGGAAGGTAGGAAAACCCTCTGGAGTAATCTCCTGGCATTCAAGCAAAGGATCAGCTGCCCCTGGTTAGTAGGTGGTGATTTTAATGCTATTATTAGCAGTGAGGAGAGACTTGGGGGTGCTCAAGTTACAGAAGCTGATATTGAAGACTTCCAAAATTTCATTAATTCAAGCCAGTTGTTGCATATTAAGTCTACTGGTTGTTTTTACACATGGTGCAATAAGCAAGAGGAAAATACTAGAATCTGGAGCAGATTAGATAGAATCCTGGTTAATGAAGAATGGATTCAACAGTATACAACAAGTCAAGCTGAATTTCTAATGCCAGAATGTTCAGATCATTCACCAGCTTTAGTTACTGTTGGTGAGGATATTTTTGAGGGTAAAAGGCCTTTTAAGTTTTTCAATATGTGGGTTAATCACCCCAAGTTCTCCTCTACTGTGAAGGCTGTCTGGGATCAAAGCTTTACTGGCTATAACATGTTCAAACTCTATTCAAAGTTAAAAATGCTCAAGCCTACTTTACAAGATCTCAATAAGAAGCATTTTATGAACATTAGTGAACAAGTTCTCAGAGCTAGAGAAGAGTTGTTAGACATTCAAAACAAGTTGAGTGAGGACCTCTTTAACTCAGAGCTGATTCTGAAAGAGAAGGACTGTGTTAAAAAATACACACATTTGCTTGACTGTGAGATAGCATTTTTCAGGCAAAAAGCTAACATTAAATGGGGATTGCATGGTGACAAAAATTCTCAGTTCTTTCATTCTGTCATGAAGGCTAAAAGGCATAATAACAGGGTACTATCTCTTTGTTCTGGAAATGGTGCTAGAATCACTGATATCCCTGGAATTATATCTGAGTTTACAGGGTACTATCAAAATCTCTTAGGCACTGCAGTTGATACACAAGAACTTGATTCTGATGTGATTTCCAAAGGCCCTACTCTTTCACCTATTCAACAGAATGCTCTCAGTCTCCCAGTTACTAGAGAGGAAATTAGACAGGCTTTGTTCTCTATATCTGATGATAAAGCTCCTGGTCCTGATGGATATAATTCAAAATTCTTCAAAGCAACTTGGGAAATTATCAATGAAGACCTATATCTTGCTGTGGAGGAATTCTTCAAGTCTGGTAAATTACTAGGTGCTTTTAATTCTACAGCTATCTCACTTGTGCCTAAAATACATAATCCTTGCACAGCCTCTGACTTTAGGCCAATATCTTGTTGTAATGTGGTATATAAAATCATATCAAAAACTATTGCCAACAGAATTCAGAAAGTGATGGGGAGTTTGATTAATGAGGCTCAAAATGCATTTGTAAAAGGAAGGATTATCTCAAGTAACATCCTATTAGCTCATGAACTTGTCAAGCACCATGGTAGAAAGCATATCTCCCCGAGAGCTATTCTAAACATTGACTTAAGGAAAGCATTTGATACAATTAGCTGGGGTTTTCTGCAGTCCATGCTGGAGGGTCTGGGTTTTCCAAGTAACATGATACAATGGATTATGGTATGCATTACTACTCCAAAATACTCTTTGTCCCTAAATGGATCTCTTCATGGATATTTCAAAGGGGCAAGAGGACTAAGACAAGGTGATCCTCTATCTCCTTATCTGTTTGTGATTGGTATGGAGTACTTATCAAGGTTGCTGAGTGTTCTCAAAAATGACAGACTATTTAAGTTTCATCCTAAATGCTCAAAGCTAGATATTACCCATTTAATATTTGCGGATGACCTGCTCCTATTTTGCAAAGCTGATCTGTATTCAATTGAAAAGATGCATCATTGTCTCCAAGTCTTTAGCTCAGTTTCAGGTTTGGAGGCAAATTCAAATAAGTGTTCGATTATCTTAAGTGGCATTGATGAGGATTTAAAGGATCGGATATGCTCATTTCTGCATTTTACAGAGGGATCTTTGCCTATGAGATATTTGGGTATGCCTCTAATCTCAAAGAGATTATCTTGGATGGATTGTTCTCCCTTGATTAACAAAGTCTCTGGGCAATTTCAGAGATGGCAGCAAAGCAGGAAGCTTTCATATGCAGGGAGGCTTCAATTAATAAAAACTGTAATCATGGGAATACAAATGTACTGGACTAGCAATTACATCCTTCCAGTGAGGGTTTTGGAAAAAATAGATAGCTTATGCTCCGCTTTTCTTTGGGGACAGAAAATTCACTTATTATCATGGGATATTGTTTGTCAGGAGAAGGATAAAGGTGGCCTGGGATTGTATTCTGCAAAATTTTGGAACTATGCAACGGCTATCAAGCTGTTGTGGATGATTCATCTTAAGCAAGACTCACTTTGGATAAAATGGATACATGGCAATTATATAAAAGCTTCAACAATATGGCAAGTTCAATCAAAAGTGTATGATTCTTGGCTTTGGAAGCAGCTTATAAGGGTGAGGGACATGATGATCAACAAATTTGGCAGTGCTGGAAACTTTCAGAATATTGTTACTAGTTGCTGCAAAGGGGGTAAGCTTCAAGTTTCTGCTGTGTACAGAGCTATAAAAGGGGATGTAGCGATTCATTCCAGACTTTTAACAAGAGACAGATTATGCAGGCTGGGGTTATTGGATACAAACCACTGTGTTCTCTGTTCAAACTTCCAGGCGGAAACATGTGCACATCTTTTCTTCGCATGTCAGTTTTCAGCAAGTGTGTGGAACAAGGTAATGGCATGGATAAATTTTTCTTGGAGATCATGTGATTGGTGTCAGCTTATTAGGTGGTACAGCTGCAGGCTCAAGGGGAAAGGATTTATGCACAAATTAAAAAGATTGGTCTTCTCGGCAACAATTTATATGATTTGGCAAGAGAGGAACATGAGAATTTTTCAGTCCAAAGCTAGAGAGTCTGAAAAGGTTTTCCGTGCAATCAAAATCTCCATTTATTCAAAAATTTTGAATGACAATCTTCCTCTTCAAATGAAGGAGAAGCTTGAAAGAATGTAGTTTTTTCTTCTTGTTTACCGCCAGTCATTTTCTGGTGTCTGTGATGTAGAAAACGTTCATATTTGGTTTGATGAATAAAATTTATTTTCATTGACCAAAAACAAAGAAATAGTACTTTTTGGAAGATAAAATTATGTATCCAAAAATTTAATGTCCGTAGCCTCATTAACTGGAATTAATCTCTGTACCAAATCTAAATTGAATATTCCGATTCTAGAACCTTTTATAAGCATGCTTTGATTTGCATATGTATTTGTCTGCTATGAATTCAAAGTTATTGACTGGGGAAATTCAAAGTTAGCTTTTGAATTAGATACAAAAAAAGATCTCTCGTGGTATATTCCTTGACTTTTAAATAAAGGTTCAAGCTTGACTTGATTATTTTTCCAGCCTTTAATTCCATATTCCTTTATCTAAGGACCTCTTGAGTTGAAAATTTCACAAACAATTGGGAGCAGCAAATAAATAAAATCACACATATAAAAAAATATCAAATATCACCTATGAATATATGAATATGTACATTCAACACATAAATTATATGATAGTCAACGTGTTAGGGCGTCACAAAATTCCAAGATGATGAATTAATTAGCACATAAAACTTTAATAAATATTATGAGATCTTTTGCATCATTGATTGATTGTTGAGAATCTCTGCACCTATTACCTATTAATGACTTCTTATTATTCAACGTGTTAGAGGAAGGGAAGAAAATTTGAAGTCTTTGTTTGGGAGTTTTATTGGGAGGGTAAAGAGGGGAAAGGAAGGAGAAGTTTTCTATGATTTTTTTTTCACCCTCAAATTGGGTGGTAAAGGAGGAAAAGATAAGGAAAGTAAAAGTTCTTAATGGAAGAAACATCTTGACCCTCTATCATAATGAATCAATGGTTAAGATTCATTTACTTCCCTTACATTCCCGTAATTAGAACTCCTAAACAACATAATTTAAATTCACCTCGAATCCCCGTACAAAACTCCCAAAAAAAATATATTATATTTTCCTTCCTCTTTTCTACTTTTCCTTTTCCTATCTTACCTTTCCCTTCTTTCCCCTAGTAAACTCCCAAACATAGCATTTTAGGTTTTGAATGCAAAGATTGGAATAGCAATCGCTTGTCACTCAAAACTTTTATGATCTCAAGGATAGTATTTAATGTGCATACGTTCGTCTCCTAGCCACTCCTTAATTTCTACATCCCTATTAATTAATTAGTAAAGTGTTTGTGTAAGGAATCTTTCCTATTTTCTTCTTCTTCAAAGATAAATAAAAGGTGTTTTATTGAAATTAGATAATTTCTACAAACCATAACTGTTGTTATCCAAATCAACCGTAAAACATTTTTCTTAAAAAAAAAGTTAATTGTAAAACTAAACTGTAATCAACATAGCTGATACGATCTCAACACAGTTTGGTAAGTTTTGAGATTGAACCAACTAAGTCAATGATCACAACTCACTTCTAAATCTCCATTTAATCAAACAATCACAACAAATCAAAATTTAAATCCTTTTCTTAATCTCAAAGACGGAATATTAAAAACCCCTTAAATATACATTAAAAAAAAATCAAAACACTGAGATTATTGAACATATATATGCATGGTACTTACCCAAATAACGCATTGATGAAAATCCACATCATAGCCCTCCAAGTAAGCTTCTTCCACATTTCCCTAAAGCAATGTCAACACTATTTCTCAAACTCACCAATATCTTTAATTAATTACAAAATATTTTTGAAAAAAAAAACGCATATATACGAACCTCTCAAAGAAAAAAGCGAAGGGAGCAACAAAAATGGCTGCAACGACATGGCGATAGGCGAGGAGAGCGAACACGAAAATCCCTTGAGTCAAAACCACCTTGGAGAGGAGGAGCATGGCCGTAGTAAACACTTGCACCATGATCATGCTCAGAGGAGCTTTAAGGTTCTCCGAGCAAAATCTCTCTCCGGCCATTTTCGTCGATAAAAACAAAATACTTGGTCGACTTTCAGCAGCAAAAGAAGAAGACTTGAAGAGGAGAAAACATAGGAGAGTGAAAATATAGGGGAATGAGGATCTGCTGAAAATAGGAACGGAAAGGAGTCTGCTGAGTTTGCTGGGGTTTGTTGAGCAAGTGATGAGTGTGAGTAGCAAGTATGAGAATTTTTGAGTCTGACGGCATCTAATTAAAGCACCACACAATGTGAGTGTAGGGTTTACGTGAGACATTTGGTCGTTAAGAGCATCTCCAACAGCTTCCCCATCTTCTTGAAATACTCAAATTTGAAGTATATAGAGCTTTTTTTTTGTCCAACAGATTCCCCATCTCATTCCCCAAAATAGGGAAGGAGGAGAAAAAATAGGGAGCCTTCCCCAAATCTGCAGCATTCTCCAAATTTTTTGGGGAGAACTTTATTATTGTAATAAATGCGATTTTTCAAAATGGGGAAGCTGTTGGAGTTGGAGCAAAAATAATTTGGAGAATATAACTTTTGTTTCTCCATTTTTGAGAAAATTTTGGGGAAGCTGTTGGAGATGCTCTAATAACTAGTTTAATTAACAAACACCACCTCTTTTAATTAATCAAATCAAATTCTCTAGGATTTCTACCTACTGCTCTTATTAGTGGATTGATGGTAACTCAAGCTAAATATAAAACTTTACTGACAATCTTACTAGTAATTGTTACAAATGTATTATTACTCTATGAGTAAATAATCAAACATGAATGATGGAAAGATCATCATCGATCATAATGCCAAAGTTTTTAACCATGAAATCCTCAGTCGGGATCCTAGGAAAGATGCCATAATTAACCTATGAGTGTTATAATAAAGAATCCATAATCATTCTACTTTTGCACTCATTTTTCGTGTGCACTCAAGCAAACACCTCACACAATGAAATAAAATGGGGCCCATTTGTCGGAGATAAAGTTACACACGTACGGGTTATTCAAAGAAAACGAAAGGGCGCATGTGGAAACGCATAATATGCGGAAATTTAGTAGCACGTCATTAGATTGGCAATTAAAACAATACGAATACAAATTACTTAATTAGGACTCTTGCTTGCATGGCTCCAACCATATATGTAATCTTTTCATCTGACGAAAGGGAATAAAAACTTTCTCTGATCCCTCCTAGTTTGTTATTCTTTATATAGAAATATTGACCTTTTCTGCATTAAACTACACGAGAAGTTTTTTTAGTTATTATTTTCGGAAATATTATCCATAAAAATTTACAATACATTTAAAATTTGTCATTAAGATCCCAAAATGGTAAACATATGAGATGAGTCTTTGGGTCTCAACCTCATGATTAAAATGTCTAAAATATAGTACTTTATCTCTTCAATTTAGTGGAGTATTTTGTTATCCCTGACTCATATATATGCTAACTAAAAGGAATACTTGAAAGGCCTAGGCGCAAATAAGAGTAGGGATAGAAAATAACCTCTACACTACTTTCGTTTAACATAATAAATAACTCAAAAAATTCGATAGCAATTCATAAGGAGGAGTCCACAGTTCTATTGGGTTAAGTAAGGGGTTAGGGAGACTTAACCCCTTCTTAACCTGCCAAACACAACAAATCTATATAAGGGTTAAAGTGAGTTAACCCTCCATAATTTGCCAAACATAAAAAATATAGAAGAGTTAAGTTAATCCCTCTAGAGGGGTTAAAATGAGTTAACCCCTCAAAATGAGTGGTTTACTAATACTCCTATTTAGATGGAATAAGAGTTAACCCTTCTAATTATAAAGAAAATAGTCAAAATCATTGTTATTCCCAAACACTAAAATTGATCATAAGGGCTAAAATAAAACTTATTTAACGAGTTAATAATTTAGTCCTTCGGATTATCAAATGAGCTAAGTACATTAATCCTTCTCTTTAACCCCTCTTCATTAACCATTTGCCAAACGGGGCGTTGTAGTACAAAATAGGATTAGGGATTGTAGCATAATTATTATTAAATGCAAACAAATCATTTCTTTTTAAGCTATTGATTGATTGATAATCCACTTGCCATTCGTACCAATGTAGGTTGGTTGGTAAGGTGTGATGGCTAGTTTGCACGGGCACGGGCTTTCGCAATTAATTCCTCGTTTGTTGTTGTGGGAAAAAAAATGTTCAATCTAATAAGTTAATAGTGAAATCACATGATTATTGAAGAGCTTTGTTGTTAGAGTCCTATTAATCAATGAAGAATATTATTAGCTACATGGCAGCATCTTGGTTTGAGTCGAGTCCTTGTCGAGTCAACATCAGATATCCAAATAAATCATGTTGCCAATTGAAACATTAGGATCAGAGCTAGCTAGTGACGGCAAAGACTTTGGTGACAATGATGACAAAATGAACGTGGAAAAGGATGACAATGGTAAAGGTACTCCTTGTTCTTCATGCAGAAATATATAAAAAAATAATGTTATTAGTATATGTTAAAGTAAGAGAGAGTATTAGGTAAATTTTCCTTGTATTGAATATTGAGTGTGCACATATATTTACACAAGTAGAAGAGGGTGATGTGTGTTCTCACAACCAACATGGGACTAAAAACCCACTACTAACACTATTATCAACAGCCCCTCAAACTCATATTGGATCAAACAAAATGAGTTTGCGTATAAGAAACTGAAACTGATGAACATGTAAGGTCTTTGTGAAGAAATCCGTAAGCTCGTCGGCGGATGACACATGAGGAAGTAGAATTGTCTTATCCTTGATAACTTGTTGACGGATAAAATGAGCGCCGATCTAAATGTGTTTGGTCCTCTCATGAAATACTGGATTATTAGCACTCTAGACGGCACTCTTATTATCACAGTATCGAGGAGTAGGAGTCGAAACTAAAATATCGAAATCACTGAGAAGATGACGAAGATGAATAATCTCTTTAGCTATTGTGGACATTACACGATACTCTGCATCGGTGCTGGAAAGAGTAACAACATCTTGTTTCTTACTCCGCCAGAAAATTAGGGAATCACCAAGAAATATACAATAACCTGTGATCGTCGCATCACAATAGATGAGTACATCCCAACTAGGTTGGCACCTACTCACCCATATCACTATCATTTGCAACTTTTTTCGAAATAATTTAATTCAAATTTAAAGCTAAGAAATAAAAATTACAATTTTATGAATATTATCTAATCATTATATCTATCTGCTAGTCCCAACTCTTCAAATTTATCTTCAATCATAGCAATCCGTTCGATGCCTTGTGTTCGCTTCTCGTATCTCCACCAATCCTGTAAGCACATCACCGCTTGTACAGTATACGGATCTAAGCATGTCCTGTGGTCGTCGATCAAACGTCCTGCTGTGCTGAAAGCGGATTCCGAGGCTACAGTCGAAACCTGCACTGATAGTAAGTCACGAACCATGGTGGAAAGTATAGGATATGAAACTGATCCATATACTTTCCACCATTGCAAAATATCTAAAGCATTTCCTTGACATTTAACTAAGGAAGCAGATAAATATTCATCTATTTCAGAAACCTCTAATCCTGATGAAGTTCCAGATCCACCAGTTAGTTCAGCTACCATTGCATACCTATCAAAACTTACACTTTTACCTCGACCTGTGCTCGAAGCTGAAGGTGCCGAAGCTATAGACTGTTGTGTAGCTACACCATATCTAGCTGCATACTCATCATATAAGGTTTGAAAATAATTTCTAATAGCTAAATGATGAGTAGTAGCAGTAAGGATGGATCCATCATATAAGTCTATAATCTGTCCACCATATAATGATTGTAACAAACTTCGAAGGCCAATATCCTTCAAGCATGGATCAATAAGAACACCAATACCAAAAATATGAGGAATAGGCCTAAAATACTTATTAAATTTACTCTCCATTTGAAAAATTATATTTCCAAAAATATCATCCATACAATATTTTGCAAAAAAATATTTTGCAAAAAATTTTTGAATATTTAAAATTTGTAAAGCAGCTAAAGTAATAGTTGGATAATAACAACCAGATAATAACATAGTAGCATCATAAAAAACTTGTAACATCTCATTTAATTTACATATAACTGTCCATTCATCTTCAGTTATTCCATAAGCACTATCAGAGCTAGAACTAGAAGCATAAAAATTTATAAAATCATTTATAATTTCTTTATATTCTATTGCTACAGATAACATTGCATAGGTGGAATTCCACCTATGGTCAACATCTTTTGGAATTAGTCTAGGCTTATAATTTTTTCTTTTACAACATTGTTTCCATCTTTTAATTCTCATTTCAGAAGCATTATGCATATTAGTAACTGTTCTAACTTTTTCTATCATGGGTTTAATTTCAGAAAATGCACTTTGAACAATTAAATTTAAAATATGACAGATACATCTAACATGAAAAAGCTCACCATGACATGGCAATGACAAAGTTATTTTCAGAAAATCAACAGCTACATTATTATTACTTGCATTATCTAGTGAAATAGTAAATATTCTTTGATCAATTTTTAGTTGTCCAAGTTCTTCAACAATTAAATTTGCAACATTAATACCAGTGTGTGCCTCTTCAATTGCAATAAAAGAAACAACTCTTTTAAACATTTTCCAACTTTCATCAATCCAGTGTGCTGTTATACATAAATAACCAGTTTGCACTCTAGATGACCAAATATCAGAAGTTAAAGAAAATTTGCAGTTTAAATTTTGAAAATAAGAAATTATTTTTCCCTGTTCCTCAACATAATATTTTAAAATATCACGTTGACAGGTTTGACGAGAAAATTTTGTAAATGCAGGATAAAAACCATCTCTAAACATATCTTCAAATTCATCATCTTCTACTAATTTAAAAGGAAGGTTTTTAAGAACAATAAACCTGATTACGCATTTCCGGGCTCGGGCAGCGTCATAATTCCAACTGCCGAGGGTACCTGAAGAGGATGATTGGGAAAGCATAGACTGCCGGATATCACCTTGTAGATTTTGGCCTTTGTTGTGTTTTTCAATATGCCGTTTGAGATGGTTGGTGCCGCTCTTATGATGAGCTTTGAATATCTGGCCGCACAACGCACATTTCGCATTCTGAGAGATGATCCTACCGT